AATGTTAGCTGTATGAAAACATTGTAGTTCTATTATTTAATCAATTCTAAGTCACAAAATATAAAGGATTACACCATCACAAAGATGGAAATTGGTTTGCATTCAAGTAATAAGTATTTATCTTAAATCAAATTTATATAAACTGTTTAAATCTTACAGAATTTCAAATTCCTTTTTCAGGGTTAGACCATTTTATACGACTTACAAAAAAACGAGTTTGACCATAGCTGTTGTTTTGGTGTTTGTTAAAGATATTAGTTGCAGAAGCAATAAGTTATCATAAGTCTTTTTAACTCTTCATAAATTTTACGTTTTTCCTCAGTCATTAACTTAGATTTGATAGAAAATTCAAAGATCGATGGCAAATTGCGTCTAACATGTGAATGTCCTGAACTGTTTTTGAACTAAGATGATAAAAAAAAACTCTATGACCCGAATGCTTTCATCTTCAGGGGCAAACATGGATGTTTATGAACTAGAAATTCAATCAAAACCCATGTTTAAATTGTTTTTAAAACTATGACTGAAGGAATGGTACGTTCAAACAATGTTTCACCCTCTGTCTGTGTGTGCCCCCCCCCCCCAAGTGGCATAGCGGTATGTCTACGGACTTCCGATGCTGTTTATATACCCGTGGTGGGCAGAGCACAGATAGTCGATTGTGTAGCTTTGTGCTTAATTTCAAACAATTAACTCTGTGTGTATGAGTTTATTCCCTGTACTGTGTAGTCTTTTCTTACCAAGCGCCATCTTTAAGTTCGTGTAAAACATTTTGTGTAGTAATGTTTCACAGGAATTAGTTTTCTATCTTAACAGAAAGATATACTTCATGATGTTCAACCCGTAGAAAATCTCGTAATCCTCCCTCTTTGGCTACAGAAGAGGACTGTTTATATAGGAAGGTGGAGGTTTCGAGCCCAATATCAGTGCTCATCAGATTGGCTGGAAGGGAAAGATGTAAATGTGGTCTCATATATAATCAGATTTGATGAACAACTGTTACTGTGCAAGCCAGATTAAGCATGTAATTTGCAATCATAATCAATTTTACTTAAGTAATTTACAAATCAGATTTTTAGATTGAGAATTGATAATACAACATCATTTATCTTATTTATAATTTATAACTAGTTATTTATTATTATTTATTTCAATTAACTTTAGCATCAATCACAAGAGCTGGCGAATGACTTCTTGTTGTCCGAGCTGGTCAAACAACCACAGTGTCAACGGTAGAAAACTACATCAGTAATTCTAAAAACCTACGAGTGAAAGCAAAGGAGAATACGTTATGATAATTTGTCAACCATACTACATCTGATATCCAATACCGACAGGGCCTTTCGCCAAATACCAGGGCTCAAGATAAGAGATTGTTGAAGACTGGTATAAGAGGGAGCTAGGGTTAACATGTATGCTTTGGAGTCAGTGTAGGAGTATGGTTTGCTTCAAGTACAAGAGTAATACGGAATAGTAGATGCAACGATTTGGATGCCGACTTGATGTAGTAAGAAAATCGGGTGTGGTAGAATGCAGTGTTTAAAGGGATACGTTTGCCGGATTAAGATACACGTGGGATAAGAAAAAGTGATGAAGATAGAAACCCCCTTGTATAAGTTAAGTGTGTACTGGGATGCAGATCTTCTAAAATATGATTGGATGCAGTGATTGAGATAGAGCCGAGAGCAAGATAAGCTAGAGTAAGATAAGCATTTTAAGAGATGTATAGGAACAGGGCAAGCTTTTAGAAAAAGTTCATATTAAATATTAGGTTTATTACTGTGGTACAAATGTCATTCGCTAAATCAAAATAAATTAAAAACATTATACGAGTTTCGGGAACAGCGATTTGAAATATCTGAACAAGTATTTCAAAATATCACTTATCAGTCGGGATGACTGATTGGTGTTGGTATTAGTCATTGGATCTTAACATGTTCAGTTAATCAAACCATTAATGTAATGCTGACTTAATCCACGCCTTTCATTTAACTATTCTATTTATTTAACGTTTAAATATATCTGTGTGCTGTCAAAGGTCACATTATAATTACATTTTAAGGTTGGGCTATAAGATTGAAAGCTGTACGGCAATATAAATTACTTATTACAGCCGATCTATCTATCTTTATTTTTAGATTTACCGTGTAACTTACAATAGATAGTTTGAATATACGGATTATTACTCCGTATATATGTACTGACTGTTAAGAAGTTTTACAGCATATATAATATGTTGAAATGAAGTACGTAACTGACCACGAGCGCATGTGTGTGTGTTGGAAAATACGGCCAAGGAGGACGTTAAACATTTCCCATCGCTTTTAAGACAACTTTCATTATTTTCGATCTTGATTTAAAAGATATCGTATATTCTTTTGAACACAAGTTGCTGTAATATAACAACAGTTCACGGACAATTTTTAAATACAATGTACCGTATTTTGACGTGTGAATTATTGGGAATAGAGCTTCAACAAAATATTTTTAGATAACGTTTAAGAACTTCAATTCTGAGTTTACTGTTAGGACTTATTATTATAGTAAAAATATTTCAAATCCGAAATCGCTGTTTAACGTATGGCTTTGATGTCACTGACATAACTCAAAGGCCCGGTATGGCCAGGTTGTTGGGGCGCTCGACTAGCAACCCGAAGGTCGTGGGTTCGAATCCCAATCCCACCAAACATGCTCGCCCTTTCAACCGTGGGGGCGTTATTATGTGACGGTCAATCCCACTATTCTTTGGTAAGAGTAGCCCAAGAGTTGGCGGTGGGTGGTGATGACTAGCTGCCTTCCCTCTAGTCTTTCGCTGCAATATTAGGGACGGCTAACGCATACAGCCCTCATGTATTTTTGAGCGAAGTTCAAACCATAACTCAATGTAGACCTATATATTATCGACCTTGTGTAATAAATTCCTTAACACAAAATTATCTTTGTGGTCAGGTTCGAATCGCAGATGTTTTAGGTAAATTAAACTGAACATTAAAATATTTTTTGACATTCGCATGTTTTTACAATTTAACCTCTAATTTCGGCATGTTGAAGAAAGGTCAAATGATATAAATGCGATATCGTATAACTAATTTAAAACAACGCACAAATATTGTTTTTTCTCATTCAACCCCCCCTTCCCCTCCGATGTTTAGTAAAATACCTCTTTCATATAAGCATGTCTTCAAATAATTTCTCCAACATGAAAATATTCACCAAAACGTATAGACACTTGAATATCCGGGAGACATAAGTAATGTAATGTGTCAGAAGTGAATGGTCAGATTATAAATATGCACGTCATCACAATGATTGTCCATTAATCAACCTACAACTGAGACTAAGAAGTTGTATAGGGTCCAGACCGAGGCCAGAGAAATTATACTATAACGATGTTTTGAAAGGTCTTACGTTTTTCTCCCGAAAACATTTGGAGAATATCAATTGAAATAAGAAATTAGCAAAACAGCCAGTCGTACACCTTAACTAAGGAATGAAAAACTAAAGAAACTATACTTTTGACATAACGTTAACTGTGTGATTAATTGACATCATTTTAAAACATACCGAGTGGGGAGTTTCTTCTTTCATGGATAGATATACAAACGTTTACAATACACAGCGGGGGTAGTTGGTCGTGCAGATTGTACTTGATGCTGGAGGCGAATCTGTATAAATGTGGACGTTGTGCAGGTTCTTACTTATCGTATTATCATTTTCCCTTTCAAATGTTTGGGATAAAGGCAGAGAAGTTCAAAAAGAATTAATAAAGAAAATTTGAAATATTTGCTCATTAATTCTTATTTTTGCATGAAGGTAAAATACTTTGTTGAAAATGTTGAATTTATGTATTTAAGGATACAATAAAATAAATTTATTGGGTGTGTAAATTTGGACCTACCACGTGAAGTGCTCTGGTGAATTTATGTAGATTTTACCACTACAGATTTGATTTTAGCTTGCAATCTGCGTAATGGGCAAGATTAAAAATAAGGGCTGGAAGAGTAAATGACAGTGAAAAAAACCCAAAAACTAACAGGTTTGAATATTCTTTCATGGTTTGAAATAGAAATATGATGTTAAACACTCGTATTTAAGTAGTAAAATTGTTTGATTTTAAAATATTAAGAATGCTCTAATGTGCTTTTCAGAGATCTTGATCCGTGTACTTAATTCTATAAACATTCGAGATATGCTCTGTAAATTAATGACACTGATACACTATTTTCTACTCGTGTTTCTTTATACACAATAAAAGGAGCACATTTGTGACATTAGTACACACTAAACAAGGAAGTCAGTGTTCAACTATTATAATTTGTGAATTTCACACCTCTATTTATTTTGCAGAATTGATGCAATATAAAAAAAAAATCACGTGACTTCCTTATGACATTATCCGTTGCCCTCTATATTTTCCAGTATAAATATGATACCGACGTGTTGGGACTTTTGCTTGTGGACTCGACTTGTACCATGTATTAATATGATAGAAATTATGTGATCGTATTTTGAATTTCACTAATACTGAGCAGATATATAAAGCACGAGCTAATTTGTAATCTCGACCTCTGATCTTTATAATTGTTTAGCATATTCATTCGTAGTGAATATTTTGAATTATTCTTGTTTAACTATTCTTTAGTTTCAATTTTAAAAGAACTATTAGTATTATCATGAAAACGTCTGACTTAATTATAGCAGTCATTTCTGGCCATGTTTTAAATTAGGTCTGATAATATTTCCGATTAACAAAAACGAATAATCTGTTATATACATTTCAGTTTAATACACCGAATCAACAAGGACTGGAGTTTTTAAACACTTAATCACCAATTAGTAAACGAATAACTAATTTTCATTCTTTGATCCACTTCACTCAAAACCGTAAGATTCTAAGCACGATCCCATATGTACTGAAAGTAGTGATTTGATACAGAAAATGATATTTACTATTTTTCTGGACTCTCCAAGTTTTATTCACCTACTTCTATTTTCTTAAGCAGTCTAATCTGGAAGACGATGATCTAAATGACGACTTGGAATACTACGGATCAGAAAACGACATTGACGAAAACGTTCAGTTAGACAGAGCGAAGATGGAAGATGCGTTGGATACTAGTAGGTTGGCACGATTCAAAAACCAAGAAGATATCCAAAGTGACCTACATAAGCACAATAATAGACTTCGTCAAGAAATGGCAGCAGCGGTTGAACGACAAGCACAAGCTATAACCACTGCTGCTGGAATTATGTCAACTTCTTTATCCATGCAGTCTCTCACACCTCCATCTTCAATATTCCCGGTCCCGTTCACCCATCTACAAACAGGAAACAACTCCATGGCTACAACCAGTCCTCCCAACACTGACTCAAAGTCTTCATCACCAGCTATAACTATTCCAAGTTCTACTTCAAATGGAGGCCAAACTTCAGAGCTAGATCCATCTAAATGCACCTATGAAGAACAGTTTAAACAGGTTTGTTTACGACTGTTTTTATCCGAGTGATTTGTTAGTTATCCAAACATTGCGATGATGCATAGAACGAGATTTTTAGAAATCCGTTGTCAACCAATATGACGCTAAGGTAGAACATCTTAAAGTTAACTTTGATTGTAGGCACATTTAACTTTACCAGTTCCATACTTATATACAGCGACTATGATTATTTCCTCACGTAGGTGTATATTAATGATTTAACTCTCTTCCCGTGAAGAATCAACATTTACAACCTACACTTGCAAATATCAGACTTCCACCTACTTTGTTTCTTAGGTTTAACAGGTCGGACTGTACTGACTTTGCTTTTGATTTGTGAATATACAACACTAGTTTTCATCTTTGAGTAGAAATATATTATAGTTTTAGCGTTTTGATGCTCAACATATCTATAGCAATAACTGTTTAGGTCCTGTTAAGTGTTACCAATTAACTTATTGTTTATGTTCTGAAGTTAGAATGGTCGATTGCTCCTTGATGATCTGTTGGAGTTGAATTATTTAAATTGGAGAAAGTGCTCCAGATCGAAAGAAGCGAAGAAAGTAAAACCCTGTGTTAAATCATTTCAATGTTTCCAAATGCAAACTCAAGTTCTTTATATTTTGTGAGGAAATGATTCATAAACGCTCTTGTTAAGAGGAGGTAATACAGATAAGTTACAATTAACTTGAATCTTTAGACAATCGCTTAACTAAGAAAATAAATTCGTACAGGCAATTACGCATTTTCGTACAGTTCTGACGTGGTAATTATGTAAAAATAAAACTCTTTGTTATGGGTGTACGTATCAACAAATACATAACCGCGCCAACAAAGTTGTAACAAAAAAGTAAAATCATAGCATTTATACTTTTGTATAAATGATATCATTTTAAAGTGAAAATGTCTACGATCATAGCACCCTAAATCATTGGAAAGCAAGCTATAGATTCTATAATAGGTTAGGATCTGGGTGCTAGAACTCACAACGTCCCAGAACACACTACCACTCAGTCTATAACCAGTTGTGGGCAATGATAACTACCCTTAAAGACATAAGAATAAAATCTCATAACTACCCTCGATTTCAATGAACACAAATGTGACCACCCAACCACCACCCATAAAAATAGAAAACTGATATCATGTATTATCCTTCTTACCAAAGAACATCACCAAGCTTCCACCCCTTTCTAATCAACAGCTGATATTAATATATATATATTATATTAAGAACTATATGACCCACCTGTATAGTTCAAATAGTAATATTAATAATCTTTCCTGCATGATATAAATAACTAAACAATATAGTTCTAACGGTCATATCTCTAATAATACAGTAATACACGATATTATAGTGCTAGTGACATAACCATATATGACGTTTATAAACTATCAAACCACCTACATGATTCGGGTACCCCTATTTCCTTCCTAATACATTCAAGTAACCCTGGGTAAACTGAGCTAAGCTCAGTTGCCTGAAGTTAGCCTTTCCGACCCAGACATGCTGAAATTTTTTTATATGAACACCACTAGTCTATATATAAAGATCTCATTTACTAGCGTCCTCTAGAAAAATCGATATTTCAAGTAATAGATAATTGCATTCAGATTATTTGTAAACAATTTACTCTGAGTTATGAAATTTATTATAAAATAATTTAAAGACTAATAATTTCAAAATTATTGTAGCCATTAAAGAAAAGTGTGTATTTTAATAGTTCTATGTTATACATGAAGAAGGTGCTTTTATTACAGATTGTTGGATATATTTTAATTTGTGAGATAATTATACCTTTTAATAGCATATGTGCCAACGCACTATTTGGGGAGGGCAGTTGCAGGATGGGAAATTTAAATTCATTTTTTAATATTATGATATTAACTTGTGAGTGAATAAAGTGTAGTTGGACATATTTGACAAAAGAAGAAAATTTAAATTTCCCATCCTGAGACTGCCCTCCCCAAATAGTGTGTTCTCACATATACTGTTAAAAAATATAACAATCTCACAAACTGAAATATATCTAACAATCCGTAATAAAAGAACTTCATTTATAATGTAGATCTATTAAGAACAACAAATTTTCTTTAATGGTTACAATAAATGTTATAACTTATTAGAAAGTAAGTATTTTACAAACAACTTGAATGAAATTATTTGTAACTTGAAATATCGTTTTTTTTTTTTTTAGAGAATGCTGGTATACAAGATGTTTATATAAAATGGTTTGTTTGTTATGAATTCTGCTCAAAACTACACGAGGGCTATCTGCGCTAGCCGTCCCTATTTAGCAGTGAAAGACTAGAGGGAAGGTAGTTAGTCATCACTACCCACCGCCAACTCTTGGGCTAATCTTTTATCAATGAATAGTGGGATAGTTAGATTTTTTACATTCTTAAGTTCGTTTTGAGGGCACAGTTTTGTTACGAACAAAAGTTTTCAGGCTTATATAGGCTTATTCTCACAAATTTATATTCTCTTATGTTGTAATTCAGTTTAATATTTTTGATTTCATTCCTTTAATTCGCACACTCAATCCTTTTTTGATCGCACCTTTTTTCACACCTAAGGTGTTTTTGATTAGATATCATAACTTTTTGCCAATACACACCAGTAAACCAAAGCAAGTAAGAAAGTGACACTCGATAATAACCCACATGACCTTTCGGATCACAACCCTATTATTCGGAACACACCTATATTTTACAGAACCAACCATATTGTTTATAGTATAAGGTGGTAGTTTTTCCTCTCTAAAACAGTGTTAATAGCTTCTTTTATACTAACGCCATGGAATTTAGATGAACAGGTTCTTGTCATCGCCCCTATGCAATCGGTACATCTGTATCAAGCATCATTATTTATACTAACTGCTAAAGCTAATATCACTGACGCTAAATAATTTTTAATTAGGATAATTTCATAAAATTTAGTAAATTTGTGCTGAAAAGTTGGCAATCAATAATAACCGTCCACTGATATGATTATTTTGAAAACTTGATCCAGAAACTGTTAATCTAGTTTGCTTGGCCTAACCAATACTTACGTATCTGCACGTCCTTCACCTAATAGTTTAGCTGCTCTGAATCAGCTGTGGCGGTTGGGTGATATTTTTTTGAGAGAAAATTGAGGGTGGTTGATATCAGATTTTTATATTTATGTCTTTAAGTGTAGTTATCATTACCTGGCTATAGACGGCGAGTGGTAGTGTGTTCTGGGACGCTGTGGGTTCCAGCAGCCAGATCTTAAACCCGTTATTGAATCTGTAGCTTTCTTGTTTTGCATCTGTTGTTTTGGTTATGTCCAATAGATGGAATATCTCCAAATGGTTTTGGGTGCTATAGCCACAGCCATTATAACTTTCAAATGATACCATTGATAGTTGTGTGTATATTTTTACATTGTTTTGTCACAGCTTTGCCGGCGTGTACTTATTGGCACGTACATCCATAATAAAGATCTTGTATTATTAAACACACCTATATACATGCTTCCCTCTCTCGCTTGGCTCAGAAGTGTGCTTGAGGGCTTATAACGCCTAAATTTGGAGCTCGATCATTACGGTGGACACAGCGCTGATAACCCATCGTGAATCTTTGCTCTTAAACAAAGCAAACCCAACAGTGTACATATTTGTGTGGTTCGAGCGTATGTACTTATTGACAAAAAGGTATTTTTTGGTTAAGGAAGCTGGGTAATATGAACGCCCTGTTCATGAGAACGTCAGTGACGACAAAGAGGGGCTCATCATCATGTATGGGTTCTTCTCCTAAATGTTGATTTAAGGTTCGGCAGCAAGTACTTTAACAATGTAGTTCATGTCGTGAATCACGTGACAAAATAAACAAGTGTTGTATTTCTTTTCACGGTAGTCTCGTTCGTTATCACGTGAACTTTTATTCTATTACGGTCTACACATCCCTCAAAACTTTGCAAAAGCGAAAGACTGAAAATGAAATTAACTACTTCACACCTGATGGATTACTAGTTGTTTCGTGTCCATCCCCTTTTCAAAACTACATGAAGTGATATTTTTTATCTATAAAATATTTATAAGTGGGTCACCAATAACTTTATGGACTTGCAACGCTAAAATCCGGAGTTCGATTCCCATGGTGAGCAGAGCGCAGATAGGCCTATTATGTAGCTTTATGCTAAAACAAACTCACTGTTACTATCCAAGGATCGCGATATTCCTTCACGATTTTACAGACTCCTAGCGGCTACATTCACATTCTTAATCAACTACATTAGTGATTTGATAATGATGTTGCAACATAATATATGTATATTTCTGGTATTTAGCAGTATCACCTTCATCCCTGAACGTCCTTTAAGTATTTCGTTGTGCTATTACGTTATTTATAAATACTACTAAAATGAAAAAATCTATAAAATGAAACTGGAAAAATATTTGTTGATTTCTTAATTTAGAGTCTCTGTTGATTATTATTTTCTTATTATTAAAAACGTTGATATATTTTACTTCATGAGAAATTTTATGCCCTTGGCTCTAGGCTAGGCGATCCCACACTACGTTTTACTTTAGACTTACTATACCGACACTAACTACACTTACAAGGTTTCACGGCACTCCCTACCTTCACAGCCCCTTACACCCCCGTCACTAAAATCGTAATGAGCAGACAGTAATCGAACTATTCTATCTGGATAAATACGTTGTGGCTGTTATGACTCCTATTTCGAGAAATCAAGCGTGCCACACATTGGCTTTTATATAGATTCGATTATACTTTCCACTTTGGTAATGCTTACAATATCCAATTCATTTCTTGGGAATCTCTTGAGTGACACTAGCGCTGAATCGTTACATGAATATATTTTTTACAAGAATAATGAAATGAAATCGCCTATCCGTATAACTGGTTTTCGTGACAAAAACCATATTTATTATTTTATTTTATCTTTTATACAAATTCATTTTACAGTACAGGTGCAATAAAGTATTCTAAGAATGGCCCTTAATGGT